ACAAGTAGAAAGTTATAAGAGATGTTAAAGCGACTTTATAGGTAGATACTTTTTCTAATACCTTTTTATTCTAATGGAAGTAATCGTATCACTAAGAATGTGTTATTTCACCACTTTTTGATAATTTATTAGAATTTGTGAATGTACAGGGTGGTTGATTTTCGATAGTTTTATAGGGTACGGCCAAAACGGTGAAAAAAATCTGACATCGATGTCATGTCCTCTTCGCTGGTACCAAAAGATCTTGGCTAACTTGATTAGTTTTAGATATACAGGATTTTTTTTTGAAAAATCGCACATTTACATTAAGAAAAAAGTTTGAACGCTATTTGTTCTATTTTTTATGAGGAAACCATTGGCGTACTCAGATTTTTTACAAATCGCACAGTTTTTCAGGTATTATATAAACATAGGTGTTTTTAAATAGAATACATTCCAAAATTTATAAAACCAAATAATAGTCATTCAACAAGCTTTCAATCACTCAAAAATAAATTAACTGTCAATATTAAGCAACAAAAGACGAATACTAATTAAATCACATGGCCAACTGGAAAAATACCTATACATTTTTTTCATTTTTCTTCATTTAGCAAATAAAAAGGATCTATTATTATGCAGTGTGTTTCACTTAAAGTCGGAACACCTCCGTCTTTAGGATGGCGTTGGCTGATTTCCAAAAATCTTTTTTTATGTGACGTGATTTTTTCTACAGCCTACTATCAGTAAGAAAAGACCCTCAAAAATTGAAAAACATATTAGGCATTTTTTTAATCATTTCATTCATCCTCATCATTTTCGATTTGATCACACCTCAAAACTCTAAATACAAAGATTTATGTAATAGAATTAGACAAGCATGTTGACAAATAACACCACATCAGTCGAGGAGAGTTAATAGAAATAGGAGGAGACGAATTGAACAGTCCATACCAAATGATGGTGGACTAATAGAAAACAGTAATATTTTATTTCGTTCTGAAACTTATATAACAAAAAAATATATCTTATTGTGAGCACTTTGTACGAGTGAAATCAATAAAACTACATGGATATACCTTCTGTTAATAAAAATACCTTGAAAATATTTTCCACTGTCAATACAGGACATTCTATTTTGTGTACACCTTGTAAAAGCTATAATAATGAAACTTTGTATTTAGGGTTTTGAAGTGTGATCAAATCGAAAATCCTATCTATTTCTTTCTTAAAAAAATGCCTAATATGTTTTTTTTTAAATTTATGTTTTTCGGAAAAACTATGCCATTTGTAAAAAATCTGAGGACGTCAATGGCTTCCTCATAAAAAATAGAACAAATAATGTACAAAAAAAGAGGACGGGACATCGATATCATATTTTTTGTATCTATCACCGTTGACTGTACCCTATAAAACTATTGAAAATCGCCCACCCTGTACAATTGCATAAGAAATTGTAATTACCAACAATTAATAATTAAATTTCAAATAATAAAATCCTAAAGATATTTAAATTCATTTTTGAATGATTTTATAATAAAAAAACTTTTGTAAATGAACAAAAAACTAACAAAAGGAAAATTAATTAGTAACTATTGGAAAATATATCAACATTTTTGTTTCAGCTTTTATAAGGTACTTATAGGTAGTTGCTTAGATTTTATTTTGGTGTATTTATTGCTACTCTATTATTTTTTTTAACACAAAATCGTCGAACAAATGTAAATATTAACATTTTTGAAAAAAAAAATTCATAAAGAATTAGGAATCCATTATATATAAAATATTAAAAGATTTGTATAAAAAATTAGTGTAAAACGGGGTAAATTGGAATTTTGGGATGAATAAGAACAAACTTTACAGATTCCTGTTTTAGATATCTACGCCTAGATCTTTTTAATTTTCAAAATTTAAATACCCAATACGAATGGTATTTAGAATAGTCCATCTCAACTAGGTCGGACAGCACAAAATACATTATCAAAAAATCGTATAGTTTTTTTGCAACAACTGGCCAAAGTCCAATTCGAATAGAGAAATGGGAATGGAATAATGCTTCTCATTTTCCCGCTCTTCAAAATAAACCCGGAATATCGGCATACAAAAAATGTTTAGTTTTCCAAAAAATGCTACAAACTAAGATATTTTTCTCCGGAATCACTCCCAAAACGTTTTGCCCCAATTTACCTAACCATCTCTTTATTTCTGACGGTTTCCGAAGTATATAATTATTATTATAACCAATTTGAAATAATTATCTCTTGTACAAGTTTTTAATATTTTGTTAAGTAAATTTTTACCGAATGTCAACCTTTGAAACGCCAGTTACCTGATATAGATAGTTCAATAAGTGAGATAACCAGTGAGATCGATGTTTGATTAGGTACTGATTTGTATTTTTCACTTACCTTAATTTCATGACTTACAGCACAACAGATTCACAAATTTAAATCACAACTATATCGATTTGTCACAAATGTTTCTTATAAGTTTTTTTTAATTTTACTTAAACAAAATTTGCTGTGCTGTTATTCAATTCAATATCTTTGTTTGATATCATAGTTAAATTCAGTGAAACAATAGACAAACAATTCATGGACCCTTCAACACTCTGACTTTCATAATATGATATCAAACAAATCATTATCTAAAAATAGGGATATTGTACATCAAACAAAATCAGAACATTTGTAAATAGTAAAAGCTGCTATTGGAGAATATTTCTACCAGTAGTAGCCAATTTCTAGTATACAATTGTAACAGTAGTACCATCAGTAGTTTATTTCTTAAGTATTTTCAATAAACTATGAAGATCTTCCAATATATGCTAAGATTCTTTAAATCATTATAACACTTTTTCCTGTCTTATATTCAGTCTTGATAAAGTCTTAAGATAGAACTATTTCGATATCCCTATTTAGACTATATTAATAATGTATTGTTTTATGTAATTACTTGCTTGCCATTGTTTGTTACTCGTTTAAAAAATTATTAACTAAAAAAATTGAGCTAGGATTACAAAGAGAATTTAATGCTATCAAATATGTGGATCAACGTCTTTGTAAGCCTACGCCTGATTGTAACTCAAAACGTAATCTAATACACCTAATACTTTTGCCTTAAAAATTAACCCCTTCGTACTATCATTATTGTTATGTACATACATTTGTTACTTCATTTTTAGGGTCGCTCCATTTCTCATCACGTGATACATCAATTCTCTCATTTCTTATATTGTACATAACTCCTACATTCCTAAGGTTTCATCAGTCGATGGTTGTTACCAAAATTATATTAATTATTAGATACGTATGAGATAATTTAATAGGTTATTGAATAAAAATTACATTAAATTTTGTTTTCTGTTCTCTTGACCAACCTTAGTAACGAAGAATACATAAGAGAAAAGACGAAGAAAACGCTGTTGCAAAATGTTGGTGGTAAATATTCCCAAATAATGCATTCAAAAGCAAAGAAAAATTGTGAAAGTAAAAACTGACATCTATCAGTATCACTGGCTGTTTATTGATTTTTCCTAGTCATCTCTTTTTTCATGTTTGCTTCACTTTATTTGTTTTGATCTATATACAATATATATCAATTAAAAGTCAATGACTTACTTTAGAGAAAATATATTTTTCATATTCACTAACTTTTGGTGCTAAAATGATAATACTGGTCAACATGATTTTTGTCTCACTAGTACCCATAAGTGTACTTATTGCAGTTTCTTTATTTTCCTACGGTTACACACAATTACAGGAAAAGCTAAACAAATTATAAATATAAGGTACTACGTTGTAATATGTTATATATGAAACAGCTATAAATTTACATTAAACTTTTCTTAGTACACACGAATTATTTGGACTAAACTATCAAAATAGAGGTCACACAAAGATGATATAGAATTAAAAAGAGTGCATACATTAAAAATAGGTGATTTTCTCAGTACATTAGTATTTGCAAGATCACAATAAAAGGTAACATTATGCCGAGTTTCTATCCTTGGAACAAATAAATTTAATTCTTCCAATAGAGCAGGGCAGTCAATTCTATAGTTTATTAAATTATAAACAAAAGCAATTGCTGAACAGTTTCTTCTATGCAATAATGACTGCAATTGGAAAGCTTGAAATAACACCTAATTATCTATACCTCTCTCAAGATATACACCATTTCTTTTCAAATAAATAAATTTCAAGAACTTGCACTTGACAAATGACAAATATAATTTTGATATACAGAGTACCAGATAATAAATCCGTATTCTAATGAGTGACACATATATCTAATACTTTCATTGAAGCAATATTGGAAAAGTCCCTCATATTTCTAATAACAAATCCCAAAGTTTTAGATGCCGAATATACTACATTGTTAATATGGTCCGAAAAAGCCAGTTTAGTATCAAACAGTATACCTAGATCTTTATAAGACGAACAACGTTCAATAGCAATGTTATTGATTAAATAATTATAATTTAAAACTTTCCCCCTTTTCGTGTATGACACTATTTTACATTTAGATATATTCAGTTTCAATGAGTTTGCAAAACACCATTCATTTATTTTATTTAAATCATTTTGAAGCTCCGAACAATCATTTTCTGATGTAACACTACTAATTTCTTATTTTCTAGATGAGTCAGAATTTTTGGATATTGTGCAGTTAAAAATGCAGAAAGTATGTTTGAAATTATAAATGCCTGTCTCTAGGAAACCTTGCGTGATGGGAAAAATCGATATCATATTTGAATTTAAGAGAAAGAAATACTATCAGAATCACATATTTTTCTTTCTGAGACAAAAATAGTTCCTTTTTGTTCAACAATGTAATTTGACCAAAAATTGGGAAAGAACAAACTAATAATCAACCGACAATATAAAATTCAAATTTTCAGGACGCATTTTAAGCTTTTTTGTTGTTAAATATAATATATAAACAAAAAATATCACTCAAAGGAGTAGTTTTCAGCGTGTTCCAGCTAGTATTTTATACCTAAGTAAAAATAATTTTGAAAAATCACGCATTTATTGTACAAAATATTACATTCCATAATAATTTACATTTTTTCTATATTTTTTATCACAAGCTCTGATTTAGTTAGAAAACTTGAACCAAAATATTGTGTTCTAATTGTATACCTGGGGTGTGTTTTCTCGAATCCATGTGATATACTTCTTAATATTGGTATAAACGCTTGGAACTCCGGCTGCTCCGCACTGGTCTGAACCAAAAGATAATATTCCAACCTGCGAAGATAAGAGTGTTTAGTTTATATACAGGAATGGCCAGAAGTACGGAATAAAATTCATATCTTTTGAATGAGTTAATTTTTTTTAAAACGCCGAAACACGTTAACTGATTTTGATTTTTTCCCATCTTTCGGTTATATAATAATTAATTTTTCTTCAACCCCCTAACCCCCAGCTACCCCTACTTTTTTTTTCAAATGGAAACATAAGGCATGAGGGGGCTCGTTGAAAAGCTTATAGAAAACCGAATCCAGCCATACCAAATAAACAAGTTTTATTTTTTCAATAACAAGTTTTTTTTCATTTAGAAATTGAAACAACTAGATAATTTACAAAAATAAACTCAATGTCGCAAATGCTGAAAATGTCCTCCATTCACTATTTGGCATTCTCCAAGACGATAGTAAAAGCTGTCCACAGCATTCTGAATGACTTCAGCTGGTAAATTATGCATCTCCGCCCTAATCTTGTTCTTTAAATTCTCAATATTATCCGGTCTGTCCTGGTAGACTCTTTCTTTCAAATATCCCCAAAGAAAATAATCCAGGGGTGTTAAGTCGGGGGATCTTGGCGGCCATTCAACTGTACCCCGTCTACCAATCCAGCGATTTGGAAACATTTCATCTAAGTATCTTCGAACATCAATACCAAAATGTGGGGGAGCGCCATCTTGTTGGAACCAAATTCTTTCATTCGGTATATCTGGATCAATTTCATGAGGGAAAATCACAGCTAGAGCAGGTATCAGGTCAAATGTTAGGAAATCCAGGTAGCGTGCGGCAGTAAGATTTTCTTCAAAAAAGAATGGGCCCAAGATTCTGTTGTTGATGATACCTGCCCATACATTAACTTTTTGTGGATGCTGCGTATGCGATTCGCATGTCCAGTGTGGATTTTCCTGGGACCAAAAGCGATAGTTGTGCCTGTTAACCACTCCATTTAAATAAAACGTAGCTTCATCCGAAAAAAGTACGTCTCGTTGAAAACCATTATTGTCGTCACACCGTCTCATCATTTCCTCACAAAATTGTAATCGCCTATCATAATCGTCTTCCAAAAGCTCTTGGACAAGACATACCTTATAGGGGTGGTATTTCTCTTGTTTCAGAAACATTCGAATTGCAGTTCGAGAAGCATCGTGATTGCGGGCCAATGAAACAGTTGAAGTATGAGGATTTTCAACAAGTTCTAATGCAATGTCTAATTTCTTTTCTTCATTCAAAGCACGTGCCCGTCCAGTTTTGGGCAAAGTCTGTACTGTACCGTGTTCCTCAAATTTGTGAAATATTTTACTAACTGTCCCTTGCGAGATTTGGTTTTCGGGATATTTCGCATTAAATAAATCGCGCACTTCAGCCTGACTTCTTATTTTGTCTCCACATCCAAGCAATATCAAGATTTCGATGCGTTGCCTTTCCGACAATACCATTGCAATTCAGTAAATAACTTGATTTTGACACAATAGTAACGTTTCGAACTCCAATTTACAACTAAAGCGAAAAATTAACCAGAAAGCCTGGCAAGTAAGTGGTACCAAAAAAACGCAACATAAAAAATATATCTTTTTTGCGTTAGCAGTGATAGGTACAGTTTCAAATTCTTTATTTTATTCTGTGCAAATTCATGGAGGATAACACTGAAGATAATTAAATTTTGTTTCACTTGTTAAGTAGGTGTTTTATACAACCCTAAAAACCTTGCTATTGAAAAAATAAAACTTGTTTATTTTGTATGGCTGGATTCGGTTTTCTATAAGCTTTGAAAAAAAAAGTAGGGGTAGCTGGGGGTTAGGGGGTTGAAGAAAAATTAATTACCACGTAACCGAAAGATGGGAAAAAATCAAAATCAGTCAACGTGTTTAGGCATTTTAAAAAAAATTAACTCATTCAAAAGATATGAATTTTATTCCGTACTTCTGGCCATCCCTGTATTATCAAGAGTAAAGAAAAGGAGAAATCACGTAACAAATCAAAGGTCTTAAAAACAACCGTTCTAGGTTAAGCTCTGATTTTGGTCGATCTTTCATTCGGCGTCTTCGGAGAACATTTTGTAAAAATCGAAAAATGGAAAGATTGACCGTAACCTATTGATGATGTTTAGACCATTCTGAAGGTCAGTCGAGGTACTCGTCGCCAATTTTAAAAATTAATAATTTTTCTGCACGACCGACGCTAGATATTTTCAATACTGCTGGAATATTTACTGTATTCTGAATTCCAAATAAACTACTCATATTCAAGTCTACCTTTTAGAAATGAATAAGCTAAGCAAATCAATCAAAAATCAAAACCAATAGAAAATCTGATTAAAAAAACTAAACTTTTGTAATCAAATAAAACCATATTCTCAAAATGATTGAGGTTAATTTTGAGAACACACCCAGATCAACATATTAATGTGAATATTTTTCCTGGAATAAGACATAACATATTAGAAACATTTAACAGCAATTTATTGAGATCACAATAGGCACTGACATCATTTAAATTGTTTTGTAACCTTAAACATTGATAAAATCATCGTCAACAACAGAAAACAATTTCATGTGAACATGGAACAGGTAGTTGACATTTACTTTGGTAACAATGACATTAATAAATAAATAATAAAGGTCCCAAAACGGTACCTTAAGGTACCTAGATGTTGCATCAAATTTAACAGATTTGAAACCACGGTTATTCAAAGAAATTGCAAAAACCGGTAACCGTAGAACATGCACCGGCAGTGGCGGATTTAGCCGATGGGCGCGCGCCCCTCCCTGAAAATTCAAATTTTCAAAATTATATTCGTAGCTTTTCTTGCAAACAAAATTTAAAGAAAATAATACATATACTTACAATGGGAAAAAAAAATTTGCAGAAAAAAAATATGTATAATTTTTTCCCCATTGTATATGTAATAAATTTTTTTCAAATTCTTGCTCCTTAACATTTTGTTTGCAAGAAAAACTACGAATATAATTTTGAAAATTTGAATTTTCAGGGAGGGGCGCGCTCCCTCCGGCTAACTCCGCCACTGCCGGTGCATGTTCCACGGTTACCGGCTAATTGTACTTTTTCATTGATCAGCATGTGCATAATTAACGATACCTTGAAGTGCATACGTGGAGAAATCATACGGTTTTTTGCAGCGGGCTGACGGCCTATAAACTTTAAGGGTTTTTATTACGATTATAACTTTGTCAAATAAATTTCGAAATAAACAACGCGAAGGGAAAAAAGCGCTTAATGTGTATCATGGATGATATAGAAACGCCATCTGCAAGAACACAATTGAGGATTGTTAAAAATAAATTCGGAATAAGTACATGTAAAACATTACATATAGAAAAAGAAAAATGGAAATATAAACAAATTGAGGAACTACTAAACAACGGAAAAATGCTTCAAATGCATAAACATGAATTGTACAAATCCGTATCTAAGACAGAAACAACAAATTGTCCAATGCACAACAAAACGAGATCTTAAGCAGCAATACAGAAAGAGATTGCTTCTGATTCTTATGTCAAAACTTAACTCAAAAAACGTCTTCACATTTACATACTCCTCTGATGTAATCAAATATGTAGTCCAAAACAGATTAACTGTTAACTAGAAAAAAATTAACAAAATATAGGGAACCCAACCCATGCAAAGAAAGCATATTATGAAGCAGAAAAGGAGGGAGAGGACTGTTAGACCTACAAGAATTGTGCACTAAACAGAAACAATATCTACAAATGGATAAAAAGTGTACACCTCTAAACCTATCGACTTAAGAACATTATTTCGTCTTCATTTCAATATAACAGAACAAAATTTTCCAGACCACTCCATACTACAGTGACTCTATACTCTTGTATAGAGCCACTGTACTCCATACTACACAATATGTCAATGTCAATTACTTTTTAAATTTTTTACTATTAGCTATCATTCGAAAATTTGGATTATCTTTAGCCCAGTATCTACAATTTTGAGAAGAATCCACGCCACTAACTAGTGGCGTGGAGCAATTTATGATTCAACACTGGTTTGAATTGATAGGTTTTGTTGTTTACTAAAATTCTATGAGTATGAGATATACAGGGTGGTCCCGAGGTAATGCGCCAAAATTCATGGGTAGATTCCCCAAGCAAAAATATTGCGATTTAGCGGAACTTACCTTAGTCCAAATGTTGATAGTTAAAGAGATAGAGGGTGTTAAATGTAAAATATTATTTCAGTTTATTTCCATTTATTTCTTAATAAATGCAAATATCTACACAAAATTTTGGGGTTTGGGGTTCT